GAGGTGTGCTTGATGCACTCTCTGTCTGTTTAATCGGTCCAGGATGCTACAGGAGCAGAATGAGGCTCTCCACCACAGCTTGCTGCAGACCACTTTGCAAATGAAATGCATGGGAGCTGAGTTCAAAACCGGACACCAGATCCTTGAATCTGAGTTACAAAGAACTCGCATTGAGCTTAGCAGCTTAATAGAGCGGTTCACAAGGTGAGACACAAGACTAAACTGTACAGTGAGTTATTAAAGCTTTAGCTCTTGCCAGCTACAATTTTCAGAAAGGTGACTGTAAAGTTATTTCTGTTTTTATTCAAATAACAAAGACGACTTGTATATTTGTCATTATTTATAATACAATCTGCACCAAACATTCACTGATTTGCTCTAATTTAGTGCAACCCAGAATAAAAAATGTTAGTTTTTTTTAAGAATTCATGTGAATATATCATATGGCTCTCTGTTTCATCAGACTTCAGGACAACTACTCCTGCACACAACAAACCAACCACCTTCTGGAGAAAAAACTGCTTTGTGTGGTAAAGCCCGATTTAACCCTTCATTTAGTCTTAAATGTTAATGTCTTCCTTTAATTGCAATTCATTCATTAACATCATATTAAGTTTGAATTCACTTTTATTCTTTTAAAGTTAATTATTTTTGTAATAAATAATCTTTTCAAAATTTGACTAAGGTGTACTTGTGTTTTTATAAGGCTGAGTGAGTTATTAAAGCTTTAGCTCTTGCCAGCTACAATTTTCAGAAAGGTGACCGTAAAGTTATTTCTGTTTTTATTCAAATAACAAAGACGACTTGTATATTTGTCATTATTTATAATACAATCTGCACCAAACATTCACTGATTTGCTCTAATTTAGTGCAACCCAGAATAAAAAATGTTAGTTTTTTTAAGAATTCATGTGAATATATCATATGGCTCTCTGTTTCATCAGACTTCAGGACAACTACTCCTGCACACAACAAACCAACCACCTTCTGGAGAAAAAACTGCTTTGTGTGGTAAAGCCCGATTTAACCCTTCATTTAGTCTTTTGCAGTTGTTCCACCCTAAAGAATCAATCCCATTCATTTGAATGGATTCTTAGACCATTGGTTTACATAACATCACAGCACATTCTGTTTGTTTTATATATGACTTTTTAAATATGATGTTACTTCAATTTAGTCTCAAAGTACGGATGGAGAGCGAGAGCGACTGAACGAGCGAATCTCAGAGCTCACAGAACATCTGTCTGCAGCGAAGACCACCATCCACAGTCTAGAGAACATTAATGTGAGAGCTTGATTTCGTTATGTTTATAATGAGCAATATTCACATTCATGTAGATGCTCCTTTACTTCTGATATTTCCATTCAAATATCAAGATGATGAATGCAAGAGGCTGTTCTTCAAACATAGGAACAGATTGTGAGAGCTCACTGTGAGGTGTTTTATGATTGCATTCCCTTCAATAACACATTCATTTTAAGAAGTAAAAAATATATTGGCTGGATGCATGATCATTTTAATTTTAGTGAAATCAAACTTCAGGTTGAATAAGACTTGTTATAGCATTTAACCCTTTAAATATAATGCTGATTTAAGGAAACTGGCAGCTATTCTGATTTTAAAAAACATTTAAAAATATGTTTTATACAAAAAGTTTTTTTTTAAATTAAACATTTACAACACATTTACACACTAACCAATTGCTACCTTAAAGAGCTATTTATTCCCATTAAATTAATGTATTTATGTTGATTCAGTAATGTTAAGTTATATAAATGATATATATACTGTATATATAAACGTGACCCTGGAGCACAAAACCAGTCATAAGGGTCGATTTTGTGAAATTGAGATGCATGCATCATCTGAAAGCTGAATACATAATCTTTCCATTGATGTATGGTTGAATGACCCTGGAAATGTTCCTCACAGCATTTCGTCTTATGATTCAAATGTATTGTGTTACGTACAATAATTAGTTCATTCGTGCTTTTTCCAAATATGTGTCCATTCAGAACGAGCTGGCTTGATTTAATGAAGCTCCTGTATTCTCAGGTCACATCAATGCTACAGGATGCCCTGGTGAAGCATCTGAAGTCTGACGATCCCATAACTCCCCTTCCACTCGCACCTCCTCCAGCGCCGTTCATGGACAGCGACCGTTATGAGAAAGCCTCCATGCATGCCGATGACCAGTCGCTGGGAACGCTCCCAGAGGAGGAGGAATCTGACTGGTCAGAAATGGGAGAGGAGGCACTAGACTCGGACCTGAGGGGGAGTCGTGGAAGTGCAGTGTATTTCCAGTGGCAGCAGAGGCAAGGCGGCTGGGGACTGATGGACACGGAGAGCGAGTCTGGAGGCGAGGAGAGCAAATGTCATCAAGCTCGCCACGGCCTACAGATACCGCATCTCAAGTTCACCATCCACCCCGAAACCCTGCCGGTTCCCATCGAGGATGCCAGCCTGGCCCGCTTCAAGCAGAGTCCCGGAGGTCCAGCATGCGACGTGTACCGGATCACAGAGGTGCACAACCTGGGCTCCCCCATTCGCATGCTGTCCTCTAGCCTGGAGGAGATCCACTCCATCGGGCTTCTGAAGCAGCAGCAGGATCATCACAGCCAGCTGAGGAGCAATAAATCCATGATGGACCTGCACCTGTCACAGTCTGGCTCCAGACGAGCGTCGCACGCAGACGAGGTTGTGTGTAACTGGAGAGAAGCTGGAGAGGACAGAAGCGGGATGCTTGGTCTGGAGTCTGCTCAGAAAATGCTCGACCACTTTATTCACGATGGGGAGAGCACACACCTGTGATTAACGGGGAATGCTCGTAATATGTTGAAAATATTAGTGATGAAGTACAGGCTAACCATCTTTATCACTGATGCAAGAAAGAAAACAGAGAGGGGAAATCATAACGTGCTTATTTTGAATTAAAGATAAATTTGTCCTAATTGAGTTTTGAATGTTATGGATAATCCTTGCAATCTTTCACCGACATGTAGTAACGTGCTCTGCCTCTAAACAGCGTTTCTCACTGGCATCACTGCACTTCATCAATCATAGCCAAATAGCTATAGTTTTAGGCTACACTATAGAAGAAACCGTATGATGCTTAATGTAGCAGTTTAATGCTGGTTGATGCTTGTTAGGAAACAATAGATTTGAAAAAGAATTATTAGCAATGGGATATGTCAAGATAAATTTTAAAAAAGTCTGTAAAATGGTCGGTTCTGTTTAGGATCATAGTGAAAGATATTTGTCTCCCGGGACATGGATGATCTCTCATAGTTTTTATGTAGTTCTTGGGTTTGGTATAAAGACAAAACACTGCTATTTTCATCAAATAATGAACAAAAGCTACTAAAACCGGCTCATTAGATTTAATATTGATTTGAATTCTAATGCCGCACATGCTAATGTGTTTAATTCTTCTAATACTCTTACTTCTTCATTTGACTCTTTACAGTATTTCTATATTAGCTTTAAAAGACTATATATATATCTTCATGTGTAGTTTTTTATTTATTTGTGAAAGATTATAGGAAGAAACATTAGCCGTGTGATATATATACGTAGTTCATCCCATATGTTTTCTCGCTAGAAAAATGTGAATGCACATTTAAAATGTAATAATTGTCTATCTGTATGTAATAAATGTGCTTATGCGCATGACAGTTTAATAGAAGATTGCATTCTTTTGACAAACTCAGGATGCTGTAGAATGTCATGTTGATTTTGAATTATTATTATTAATATTAATTTTAGGGGTACGCCAGCTTGTGCAATGCATCTTTCTTGCTGTTGACGTTTGTATTAATGTCTGTAATTATTTGCATGTTAATATAAATAAAAGTAGAACAAACATTAATGCTGGGAGTTTCTTATCTTCAAAGGAGAAATAGTCATTTTAATGTGCATTACGGTTTCACCTGCTTTCTTAATTAAACACCTGATAATTAAGATACAGTGAAAGATAAATCCATAACTAATGGAAAAGAAAGCTGAAATGCATATATTACGTAGTCTGTGGCAGTCGGTCATTAATTTTTGTTTTGACACTTTTATTAAAATAAATTATAAAAAGTAAAAATATAACATGCAGTCTCCCAGTTCATATGAAGTCATCGACGCTGCATCCATAAAATGAAAAACTATAATGTTGTTTAAAATAATAAACTGACAGAACATGGAGTGTAGCATGTCACAGCACGGAACATCAAATAATTCACATCGCTACAAATATTTAATGTCAGATGAAACTGAGATTAAATCAAAAGCCAATGGCATCTCAGCAAAAGTTCAAAAACACAGGTATTTTAGATCCGTCACATGTAACGTGTAACCATGGTCTGTAACCAAAAGATTATTCTGTGAAAAAGCTGAGGAGAAAATAAAACTGACTTCATATTATATTACATTATTCTAAAAAAAAAAAAAGGTCTTAAGGTTCCCATAAATGTTGTTGAATCCTTTATTTTTATTTGCATTGATCCATCCTTCCTATATAATATATCAGAACTTAATGTTTGATTAGTAATATGCATTGCTAAGAACTTCATTTGAACAACTTTAAAGATGATTTTCTCAATATTTAGATTTTTTTGCACCCTCAGATTCCAGATTTTCAAATATTGTCCGATCCTAACAAACCATACATCAATGGAAAGCTTATTTATTCAGCTATGTATAATCTCAATTTCACAAAATTGACACTTAAGACTGGTTTTGTGCTCCAGGGTCACATTTAAACACAAGAACAGGATTTAAATGAATTACGGCTGCTCTTGTGGCGATTCTCTTCACTTCTGAACCGAGAGACGCTCTAGAACCACACTGAGCTTTGAAGGAAGGCGAAGGTCCTCATCATTTCTACAAAGTCTAGCACCTATCAGCTTCACAGGCAGCTTTAAGCACCCCGGCTGTCTCAGTCCTTCCAGCTTCTCCAGCTTGTCGTTATTCATCATCTTTATCCTCTACCTGCGTGACGCAAGGCAGCGATGCAGCACTGGCTTTGCTGAGCAGACAGTGGCCTTGTTTCTCATTGGAGAGGGCCGTTGTAATAGGATAGTTTAGGGATTACAGGTAAGACTCCCAAGACCTCTAACTCTGGCCAGATGCAGTGTGTCTCACCAGCTATGGGCATGGAGGTTCACCACTGAGGGGACACTACGGGGGGATCACCACCAAACAACCCGGACTGACCTCTGCTAACGGACTACAACATACAGAACAGCGGCTGCGTTGTTCTCGGATGAAATCGATTCGATCTCGTATTCTGACAAAGAAAGGGAACTTCACGGATTACACAGAGTTAGCTGTTGTTGCACAGATCCTCTGAAGCTCCAGCAGTTCCAGCTCCTCTTTCAGAGAGTGCACCGGCTGAACACTTCTGTGTGTCTTCACACTCTTCCAGCCTTCCTTTCTCTCAGGTTTACACCACAACACTCTTTCACAATGGTTGTGGGTAAGATGAAGCTGACTTTTCAGAAAAGGGTGAAGCTGGCCCAGGGTTTATGGCTGCTCTCGTGGTTTGCAACGCTGGGTGGAGCCGTTACCTTCACTTTAGGATGCTTCCTAAAGACTGAGCTTCGAAGGAGGGGAGAGGTATCCATATAACCCTCATGTGTTTCATTTGCTTGATGTGTTTGGCTAATAATTCCATGCAATGACGCAATGCATAGTTCTGACCTTCAAAGCTGGCTCTGACATTATTCAGCACAATATCTAGCAGTTCATTAACCATTCGTCCATTTAGTGGTTTTTATTTAGGTTATAGAAGTTTATAGAATCACTATTGTAAAGTGATAAATGCCATAATAAATAAACATGTTAGGGGCTCAAACGTTTCAGAAATATCTGGCGGGGATTAACCTATGTGAATATAAATATGATCTAAGCCGCTCATAATAGGCTTAAGGAGCTGTCCTTTACAAAGGAGCTCTTCAACAATTGGGTCATTATCAGTGATGATGATGATGATGATGAAGACTGCCATCGTTATGGCTATACATGATTGTCTATTTTTTACACCAGTTTTTATTGACTCACACACACACACACAAACACACACACACACACACACACACACACACACA